AAAATAAATAAATACTATGCCGCATTTCAACCCTGCCAATGGCCCTCTTGCTGAGCTGAAGATCTCTCGGCAATTTTTTCCTGTTGAGTTGGCCCTCCTTGGCAATGAACTCTTCAGCTAACTCTGGAAGGGATGGTCCCAAGTGAACTGTGCTTTGAAAAGTGGGACAACCTGGCCACCTCAGATGGAAGGACCTTGAGTGGAGGCCATCAAGTCTAATCTACCCCCAAAGCAAACAGGAAACTAGGAACTCTAATTCAAGGCAGATGTTCTCCCTTGCATGGAGAAACAATAGCTCACAATTAACTTCTTCTCTGAGGAGGAGGGGCCGTTGCTTGGCTGAAAACCTCAAGTCATACTTTCTGTTCTCCAGACAGATGGGGAAATTCAAGGACCCAGTCTGGGAGAATCAGCTGGGGCTGGGGGTGGGGGTGGGGGAGGGGGAGAAAGCCATTTGATCCACCATAACTGAGCGACCTTCCAGTTTTTGGAGCTATACTTTTTCTGAATTATTTCTTTTTTTAGGATACTTAGCAGGGGTGGGCTTCCAAAAATTTAGCAAGGGGTTTTCTGCCCGGTTGCTGGATGGGCGTGGCCATGGTGGGCGTGGCCTAGTTGGCCTCCTGCACCACGGCAGCAAAGGGGGCGTTTTTGCCCTCCCCGGGCTCCGGAGGCCCTCTTCCCGAACTTCCAGTAGGCCTGTTTTTCACCCTCCCCGAGCCTCCATGCATGCCCTGCACTTACCTGCATCCAAAACGGGCCGCATGGGGACTCCTGGGAGGGGTGGGGCAGCCAAGGGTGGGATTTGGGGGTTCTCCAAACTGCACAGAATCTTAGCTAGAGGTTCTCCCGAACCCCTGCGAACCAGGGGTGAAATCTACTTACCTTCTGTACCGGTTTGGAAGTGCACGCCCCCACGAATGCGCGCTGACCTTCTATGCATGCGCAAACCCTGCTGCGCATGCGCAGAGGGTAAAAAAAACAGGTTACTTCCTGGTTAAAAGCAGGAAGTAATGACGATTGGGTGGGTGGGCGGAGCCTCGTGCTGCCATCGCTACCAGTTCTCTGAACCACCCGCCGCCATCGCTACCGGTTCGGTTGAACCGGCCAGAACCGGTAGCATTTCACCCCTGCTGCGAACCCCCAGCAGCCCACCTCCGCTACTTAAGATTCTCACAGATACCTGATGGAGGGTGACAGAAGGGGAGGAGAGAAGAGAAGACCAACCTTTCCAGCTTTTGGGGGAGAGGGGGGATTGCTTTGGGTTATTTGGGGGTGAAGGCACTGCACTCATGTTTTCCTAAAACAAACATATGTGTGAAGAGAAGGGATCTCTCTGCTGAAAAAGGGCCAAATTCCGGCTATGCAAATGTGGGGTTTCTGGAAAGACTGTAAAATCAGGGTGTGGGAACCAGATGCACAAGCTGAAGGTCATACAGTCTTATGTTCCTTCGCAATGTTGATTGTTTTCCTTTCTGCTTTTTATCAGTTGGCTTTTGATCTCGTTCTTGATGAGTATCTCCCGTTTATCTATGTGTGTGTGTGTGTGTGTGTTGAAATCCTCTTATTCCGACTGAACCCTCCTATAAATATTTATAAGGCCTATCAGTTCTTTAAACAAAAGGCCAGAAACCCCCTCAAATGTACAGAGGGGAACGATGCTTGGCTCGTCCAGGGCCATCCGTGCTCGATGAGATCACTGTCTTGAGGCTCAATTAATCCCAGACTGGCTTTGGCCGGAACTAAATGAGCTTCGATTTTATGGCATTTTCCATAAAGGGAAGGCTAAAAAGGGTCACATTTTTCCCAAAAAATATATTCTGCTGGACCAGATGGAAAGCCTATCTAGTTTGGCTTTCTGTTGCCACAGTGGCTGCTAAATATTTTATTTATTTATTTGTAGTGTCCTCGGTGCTCTCTGATCTTGGTGGCTTTCTTGCAGACCTTTCATTACCACACTAGATAACATCATCAGCTCTAGAAGGGAGTGGGGTTTTTCTCCCTGTCATTATCCTTTCCAGTACTGATGATGCTACCTAGCTTGGTAATAAAACATCTGCAAGAACACAACCAAGCTCAGAGAGCAGTAAGGAACCCACAATCCTTCCCCTCCCCTAACAACAAAGCTGGTCTACCCGGCAACAGGGGCTGGACTAAGAATTATTGGCAGACTCAGTCCTTCAATCTGATTGGGCGAGTACTACCCGCACTGGCTGCTGTCTCCAATCTCAATGGAGAATGGGACAGGATCGCGTGCTGGAGCCCATCTTCAGGGAACTTCTCTCTAGCAGTGTGTGTGCTGTTCAGTGTGTGGTATTTACAGTATTTTTCGGACTATAAGACGAACCTGAATTTAGAAGAGGAAAACAACAACAAAAAGTTTTTGGCCTCTCTTTTTTCGGGCCTTTTTTCGGGCCTTTTCCGGCCTTTTTTTGGCCTATTTTTCAGGTCTTTTTTGGCCCATTTTTGAGGCTTTGTTTTCCAAAACATTTTTTCTACAACCTCTTGTACAAAAAATGCTTTTAAAAATAAAATAAAAGCCCCTGATGATCGCGCGCCTCAGCCGGGCATGGGGGCGGGGCAGGGATTTTTGCTACTGGTTCTCCAAACCACCTACTGGCATCGCTACCGGATCGGGTGATCCGGTCCGAACCGGAACCATTTCACCCCTGATCCAGGCCCGGGGGCTGGATCTGGCCCACAGGGTGCTTAGATCCAGCCTGGGGGTTGCCCTGGAAACAGCGAAGGACCGCCCCACAGTGCCTCTGCCACTAAAAACGGAGCTTGCGAGGGCCACAGGCGGCATTCCCAAGCTCCATTTTTGCTGGCAGAGGGTTGCAGGATGCCGTCGCAGCTAAAGATGGAGCTCGGGAACCCATTTTCACTGGTAGAGTGCTCCGGCCACCACAGGTGCCCCCGACATGAGTGACGTCAAGCTGGCCCCCCCCCCATCACCCCCCCCCACCCGCCCCCCCCCCCCCCGCCCCCCCCCCCGAGGTCAAACACAGTCCTGATGCGGCCCTCCATGAAATCAAGTTTGACAGCCCTGCTCTAGACTTTCACTTCCCACTTCCCATTCCAAAAGACGCAACTTTCAGATCTGTTGTGTCCTTCCTTATTATTTTGTCTCCGGCGTTCAACGTCATCTCAGCTTTTCTAGATTTACTTTCCCCCCTCGATTTAAGCTCTTTACCATTTATTGCTTCAACGTGCCAAGCCATCCTTTTCTTTACCCCGTGCTTGTCAGGAGGTGTTGAATTCTGATGCTTATCTGAAGCTTTGTTCAATTTAGGGTTTCAGATAACGCTTTCTAGCAAGTCAGAAAAGAGTTTAGAGACCGCCCAACAGTCATTTGTGTTCCTTTGCCCAGGCAACATTTTCGGCGAATGATATCACCTTTACAAGCCGCCCAACTACCTGCGTTCCATCCGTTAGGAGGTTACATGCAATGTATTGCCAGTTATTCTCACCCATGAATTACAATAAATGGGTTGTAATTTGCCTTGCTGGATGTATTTCTCACGTTGTACGAGTAGTCCTCAACTTACAACAGTTTGTCCAGTGACTGTTCGAAGTTATGATAACACTGAAAAAAGTGAATTACAACCAGTGGTGGGATTCAGCTGGTTTGGGACGGTTTGGGCCAGTTCAAGCAAACCGGTAGATAAATTGCTGGCTGGCCCCACCCCTTCCCCACCCCTTCCAGGAGTTCCCACGCGCCCCATTTTGGCTCCCAGATAAGTGCAGGGAGGCCTACTACACCCAAAATGTGGCATGGAAGGGGTGCGCCCCCCTGTGGCCCGTTCTTGCTCCCAGGAGGCTCCAGGGAGGCCTACTAGGCCCAAAACAGGTCACAGGGGGGCAGTGAGTCCCCCTCCTGCAGCCTGTTTTTGCTCCCGGGGGTGCAAGAGGCTGAGTGCAGCCTGTCACACCCCCTGGCCACGCCCACAATGGGCATGCCCACCCAGCCGGTCATTAGGGCAGAGAACCGGTTGTTAAATTATTTGAATCCCACCACTGCTTACCAGTGTAAGTAAGAAGGATGATTTCGTTGAGGGCCTCAAACATCCTCCCAAGAAGAAGAAGAGGAAGGATTAAGGGGAATTGTTTTAAAGAGCTAAGCAAAAGCAGGAGCACAAAATACAGGCAGTCCTCGACTTACAACCGCCCACTTAGTGACCGTTTGAAGTTACAGCACTGAAAAAAGTGTCTCATGACCATTTCTCACACTTACATTCATTGCCACATCTCGTGTCCATGTGATCAAAATACAGACGCTTGGCAACTGACTCATATTTACGACGGTCGCAGTGTCCCAGGGTCACTTTTTACAACCTTCGGACAAGCCAAAGTCAATGGGGAAGCTGGATTTATTTAACAAACGTGTTACTCAATTAATAACTGCAGCGATTCACTTAACAACTGCGGCAAGAAATGTCGTAAAATGAGGCAAAACTTCACATAACAACTGTCTCACTCAGCAACCGCGATTTTAGGCTCGGCTGTGGTCATAAGCTGAGGACTACCTATACATGGGAAAGGCAAAGAATACTGCAGTTTCCCCATTCCCTCCCCACTCCAGGGGGAAGGATACTGCAAAATCTCCATTCCCTCCCTACTCCTGGGGGAAGGATACTGCAAAATCTCCATTCCCACCCCACTCTGGGGCCAGCCAGAGGTGGTATTTGCCGGTTCTCCCAACTATTCAAAATTTCCGCTACCGGTTCTCCGAACTGCTCAAAATTTCCGCTACCAGTTTCCCAGAACCTGTCAGAACCTGCTGAAATCCAGTTTCACCCCTGATCCAGTTGCCTTTTGAACAAGCACCTTTGGGGGAAAAAACTGATCCAACTATTGATCTGAATTTTGATGGCCCAGAATTGGTTGTTCAGCGTTTCGTGGAGCATTTAGGAAAACGGTTTTACTGATTACAAAAACCTGCCCAGATGCAGTCTCTGTAGGTCTGAAAGCTCCTGAGACAGAGAGAGATTCATGCTCACCTACAACCATGATGTTGAACTCAAATCCGGTTTTCATGGTCTTGATACGCATCTGGTCCAGGACGGCCTCAATCCCCACGTAGCCGAATAGTCCGCCGTCCGTGGTCTTGAGGACTGGGCCATCCTGGGGAATTGGTTCTCCTGCTAGATCGTCCTCCATGCTCAGCTGCTGAAGCTTGGGATGAATCTCTGCAAAGAGGAAGAGAAAATAAAAGTTATAGGCAACCTCCTCCTTTTCTTGCAGGCTTTGCTGCACTTCTGTATATTAAGTTTGGAGTAAGAATGAAAGTGAAAGATAAAACACATTTTTCTCTTTGGAAGCAGAAATGCAGCCTTGAAAGAGAAACAACATCTGTCTAAAGTTGGGTGCTGCAAGAGACAGTGGAGAGGCTGGGACAGGAATGGAAGAGAGAAGAGACCTAAACAGCCAAGAAAACAGAAGGGGAAACCATACTGGCAGCTTATCTCATAAACAGCAACTCAGCTCAATAAGACAACAGAATAACAAAGTTGGAAGGGGCCTTGGAGGTCTTCTAGTCCAACCCCCTGCTCAAGCAAAACACCAGACAAATAATTGTCCAGGCTCTTCTTTAAAAACTTCCAGTATTAGAGCACCCACAACTACTACTTCTTTTTTTTTTTTTGTAAATTTTTAAATATTTTTTTACACAAACACATAATACATCAATCCTTCCGTGTGTCATCTCGGTGTTTCTTCAGTAACTTCTTCTCCTTTTTCATTACTCCTCCTATCTTCATTTCTTCCCTTATAATTTCCATTTCTCTATTATAATATCCCCCCCCAACTACAATACATTTAATATAATATTCTCCTATTTTGTTATCAAAATCTTTATCGATTTCTCTTTTTTAACCAATCATAAAATTTCCCCCATATCTTAAAATATTCCGTATCTTCTCTCTCTTTAATCACCAAGGTTAATCTATTCACTTCTGCACAGTCTAAATTTTTTTTAAATTACTTCCCCTTCCAACGGAATTTTCTCTACTTTCAATTGAGCTCCTTAGATAGCAACAGTTATGGGAAAGGAACTATAAACTAACAATGTCCACCGCACACAAAGAGAATCAATATAAAATGTTTTACAGATAGCATATGCCCCCTGAAAAATTGGCAAAAATGTTTAAAGACAAATCAGCTATATGTTGGAAATGCCATCAAATACCAGGAACTTATTATCATATGTGGTGGACATGTTCAGAAGCTAGAGTCTATTGGAACAGAATTAAGATTTGGTTAGAGGAAATGACCCAACAACATATTGATTTAAAACCGGAGCTGTTCCTACTGGGTATCCTACCAGAGAAAATTAGTAAAGAAAATGTATATTTGATTATTCATAGAATAACTGCAGCGAGGATAGTATTTGCGCAAACTTCTGAAGGCAAGCCATTCCACTGATTAATTGTTCTGTTAGGAAATTTCTCCTTAGTTCTAGTTTGCGTCTCTCTCCTTGATTAATTTTCCTCCATTGTTTCTTCTCTTGCCTTCTGGTGCTTTGAAGAATTGGGTGACCCCCACTCTTTTTTGTGCCAGCCCCTCAAATATTGGAATACTGCTATCATGTCACTCCCTAATCCTTCTTTCCACTAAACATATCCATTTCCTGCAACTGTTCTTTGTATGTTTTAGCTTCCGGTCCCCTAATTATCTTTATTGCTTTTTTTCGACACTCTTTCCAGAGTCTAATTACAGTAGTGGCCAAAATTGTAGAAATCTTTTTGGGAAAGTATATTTTTGAGGTTTGATGGCTAATAACACCACTTTTTTTTTTTTTTGGAGTTTCAAGATAATCCTATTCCACTGCTGGAATGGCCCAGGAATAGCCCAGACCTTCACCCAATTGAAAATCTATGGAGCCGACTAAAGAAACTTGTTAGTCAGAAGCGACCCAGCAATGAAACCCAGTTAATAGAAGCAATCCTTCAATCTCGGTTTCACATGATAATAGCTGCAGAAGTTCACTCCATGGGAAGAACTTCACTCCATGGGAAGATGTTGTAAGGCCATAATTCATGCTAAAGGTTACCCAGCTAAGGATTAACTGACATGGGGATCATTTTTGAATATCTCATTTTTTCTATGGTGATCATTTTTGTATATCTCGTTTTTTTTCTGTGTTTCACTTTTCTTCTTTCTACTGTAACTGCTATTCTAATAGCAAACCGTTCATAAAAGTGATTGCATTACATTCTTGATTAAATTATCTTTCCATTGATATATAATTTTATGGTACTACTCCCCCCAAAAGTGGTGTTATTAGCTAGTTTTAGAAAATACACTTTTCCCAAAAGGTTTTCACAATTTTGGCCACTACTGTATCTGAAGCATCTTCCTTGACATGAGCCGAGCCTCCATTGCACTGGGTTTCCCATGCAGCATTGCATCCAGGTTATATGATGTTTGTCTTTGATAGCCATTAGGCCAGGGAGAAAAAAAAGAGAAAGAGAAAAGTGAAAGTGAATTCAAATGCACAGCAACGTCTCTGACAAAGGTCAGACCTTAAAGAGTAGCTCAACCAAAGAGGCTGGAAGGGCGCCTCCATTAGGGAAGGGAAGAGGTGGGGTGGGGAAGAGGGTTGGCACCCAGCCCAAAAGTTGGGAAGCTTTGCAGAGGAACTGTGGGAGGGAAAGGGGTTAGTTTCTTCCCCCACCTCCGCAAATAAAGAGTGGAGGGGAGGGAAGTCTCTTCTTAACTGGGTTGGTAATGAGGGGAGTTGTTCAAAAGTCTGGGAAGTTGGCAGGGGTGGGCTTCAAAAATTTTAGCAAGGGGTTCTCTGCCTGGTTGCTGGGTGGGTGTGGCCATGGTGGGTATGGCCTAGCTGGCCTCCTACATCACGGGGTGTGTGTATGTGCATTTTTGCCCTCCCCAGGCTCCGAAGCCTTTTCTCAAGCCTCCGGGAGGGCAAAAACGGCCTCCCCAGGCTCTAGGAGGGCCCGTTTCCAGCCTTCCTGAACTTCCAGTAGGCCCATTTTTTGGCCTTCCTGAGCCTGCACGTGTACCCTGAGCCTCCGCGTGCACCCCTGCGTGGGGACTCCTGGGAGGGGCTGGGTGGGGTGGGCGAGGCCAGCCAGGAGTGGGATTTGGGGGTTCTCTGAACTGCACCAAATCTTATCTAGAGGTTCTTCTGAACCCCAGCAGCCCACCTCTGTTTATGATAGAGATGCAGGGTTCAGCGTAAGCAACTTGAAGATGGGTTGACTTCAGATAGGTGTGTGTGTGTGTGTGTGTGTGGCATTTTTGTCCTCCCCAGGCTCCGGAAGCTTTCCTCGAGCCTCTATTTCCCCTATTTTATTTCTGCCTCTTTCAGCTTACAACCCAGACTTCTTTAATATTTACCGGGCAATTCTTTCTATCCATCATCTCTTCTCCTCTTCTTCTCCATTCTTCTCCATTTTTTAATTCGCCTCCCACACTCCTCATCTTTATCTCTATCTGCCTCTATATCGTTCTTGTTCAATCTAAACATTTCTCCAAGTACAATCTTGTATTGCCAATTCTGTCTGCCCATGTCCAGGGATGGGCTTCAAACATTTTAGCAAGGGGTTCTCTGCCTGGTTGCTAGGTGGGTGTGGCCATGGTGAGCATGGCCTAGTCGGCCTCCTGCACCACGGCGGAGAGAGGGCGTTTTTGCCTTCCCTGGGCTCTGGAGGCTTTTCTCGAGCCTCCGGGAGGGCAAAAATGGCCTCCCAGGCTCTGGAAGCCCTCTGGAGGCTGGAAACAGGCCCATTTCCAATCTCCCTGAACTTCTGGTAGGCCCATTTTTCACCTTCCCTGAGCCTCCGCACGTGCCCTGCACTTTCCTGCATCCAGGCCGTGTGGAGACTCCTTGGAGGGGCAGGGCAGGGTGGGTGGGGCCAGCCAGGAGTGGGATTTGGGGGTTCTCCAAACTGCACAGAATCTCAGCTAGAGGTTCTCCCAGACCCCTGCGAACCCCCAGCAGCCTACCCCTGTTTATAATAGAGATGCAGTGTTCAGCGTAGGCAACTTGAAGATGGGTGGACTTCAACTCCCAGAATTCCCCAGCCTGGCTGGCTGGCTGGGGAATTCTGGAAGTTGAAGTCCACCCATCTTCAAGTTGCCTACGCTGAGGAACACTGGTCTAGAAGAATAAGGACTTCCGGATTTCCCACCTGCTCCAAATCTAAGGCAACTGATATTTAAGAAGGGGAAAAAAAGAGCCAGCCAGAGTTTGGTGACCCTCAAAAGGCCAAAGAAGCCAGAAACCTTGAATGTCACATCTCCCTTTGCTTTCTCTGGCCGAGCAGATTTTAGCCTTTCATCCTAGCCTTGGGGGGGCAGCTGCTTACAATTATTCAAGAAGAAGAAGAAGAAGATGATGACAGAAATCCTGCCTTTATCTCTTTTCCTGTCCACCCCCATTTCCCAGAGGGTGTAAGGATCAATCCATCTGCTCTTGGAACAGCGTGGGAGCAACTTCCTGTTGTTCTCCCGAGCATACGGCTCTTGGCTATATCCTTCAAAAGAAAAGACGTTGGCTAGGATCAAGGACATCCATCTCTTCTCCTCCTCTTCTTCTTCCTCCCCCCATCCAATATTCCCAGCTGGGCCAGAGCCACGCAAGCAAAGATGAGCATCTGAAAGTTTCCTTAGTTGATTCCGTCATGAAGAAACCCTTCCGTCAAAAGATACTTTTGGAAGGGAGATAGGGGCCTGGGTAGAAATTTTGGAGACTAGGCAGTGGAAAGGGGTAGAGGTGGGAGAAATACCTAGATTGAACAGCCAAGAAGCAGAGGCAGACAGAGAGGAATACGGGAGGGACCATTCAGAGGTGGTAATTTACCGGTTCTCTGAACTACTCAAAATTTCCACTACCGGTTCTCCAGAACTGGTTAGAACCTGCTGAATACCACTTCTGATTCCAGGCCACAAGAACACAATTCCAGGGTTGTTCTGCAGCCTTGACATTTCCTACTACAGAGGGACCCCCGTTTCATCAATCTAGGGTGGTCTTCTCAGATGCAAAAAGAGATTGCAGGGATCTTTGGCTTCAATACTGCCCTTGACTTGGAGTGGCTTGCCCTAATAGCCATACCTATTGCACCATTAGTAAGAAAGGGATGATAACTCTTGAGGTTCCTCATCAACACACATCATCTGGGGAACAAACTATTGGATAGGTGACAGTCTTCTCCATCATGGAGTA